CCAGCAGCACCACCACCAGCACCACCAGCAGCACCAGCACCACCACCAGCAGCACCAGCACCACCACCAGCAGCACCAGCAGCACCAGCAGCACCAGCAGCACCAGCAGTACCAGCAGCAGCAGCAGCAGCAGCAGCAGCAGCTGCTGCAGCTGCTGCAGCTGCTGCAGCTGCTGCAGCTGCTGCAGCTGCAGCTGCAGCTGCTACGGCAGCAGTAGCACCACCACCAGCACCAGCACCACTACCAGCACCAGTACCGCTATCAGCACCAGCACCACCAGCACCAGCACCAGCACCAGCACCAGCACAAGCACCAGCAGCACGACCGCCACCATCGCCGCGACGACCACGACGACGACGGCCACTGCCAGTACTACTACCACTGCCATTACCTTTTATTTTATATACGAACAACAACCGTGGACGAAGCATCCTGGCCGTGTATCCAGGAGGCATGGTCTTTGTCACCAGGCACCTGGAAGGACTTCACGAACAGAGTTGTTGCTGGGCTTTTGCTTTGGTGATGGTTGAGAGCCTGGTGCAGATTTACGTGCAGACATTTCCAAAACGAGGAGCAAGGAGCCTGATTCGCAACATGCACCCATCCAGCTTTGGGGTCTGGGACCGGCGAGGTTGGCATCTGGGCTTTACACTTCATAGGTCAAGTGCAGAGCATTGCCTGGTCTGGTGTTTCACAAATCGAAGAAGACACAATATATCCATGTTAACTCATGAACCCTTCAGTCTGCAATCCTATGTACAGAACATTGCAACCAGTTGGGACAGTAGGGACTTTCAACTCTTGAGGCAAACAAATTCCGAAGCGTCCGACAGGATATACTTCGAGAGCTGTTGCCTCAGACTGGGCAACGCTGGCTACAATGATAGTACGAGCAGTGCTATGACGAGAAGAAGACAGGAAAACGGCATGCGACTTCTTATGGCTGAAGACGCTTGCAGAGCCGACATGCCATAGGAAACACAGCTCCAAACTGAATACCAATGTTGCGATTGCTAGGGCTTTACGTGGAGGATACAGTCTTGCACTGAGACTGAAACAGTGACCAGCATTCACTGTCCATCCCCAACTAGCATCCGCTTACCTTAAACTTCCTTAGCCATCCCTCAGTCAGAAATCCTGAAACTTTGCAACCACCCTAACCCAGGTCAGGTTGGGGTTGGGGTTCATGGTCGAAGTCAGTGGGGCTTCGCCAAGACTTGTAAAGAATCTGGGTGTGCGCCATCTGGCTTTGACAGGCTTAATAGCCAAAAGGCGGTTCTGGAATGTTGGTGCTAATCAGGATGTTTTCAGGGGTGTAGGGTATCGGGTGTCCTCCCGCATCATGCGCGAGCCGAGCTAGCCCCTGAAACCGAACCCTAAACATCTGAAAGCCCCGATTCTTAGTTTGCCACTTTTCCGGGAGCAGCTGAGATCAAAGACGTCCTGGCATTTGCATTTAGAGTACATTTACATCCGACTGCCGTGTGATATAAGGAGCCTTCATACGGGGACCGCGGTTTTGGGGTACATTGTATCATCGTAGAGCTGCTCCAAGGGGAAACTATTACCAATAGTTCAGCCCCTCATATTAGCTGGGCCACCTCTGGGGCGCCTTCGGCAGACCAGGCCAAAGAAGTGTCCCAGCTGCACAATCGGAGAGTTCTGAAGGGATGATAAACGGCGGACAGGGTGGCTTTGTGTGCTGAAATTCAGATGCCAGGTGCAGCGGGCAGGGCCAAGGCGCAGTCTCCATGAGCGAACTGGCTGAAATCTGTGGTGCTATTCCGACTTGCTGAGGTCATGTTTTCCGCCTATTTGTGTGCATTGTCTCTGGTGGTCTCCGAGACGGCAGACATGTCTCGGGGGTTTCCGTACCCACCGGACACGAGACCTGTTGGCTGTCGGAAGTACAAGAGGCGTGTTCCGGCATTTCAAGGTTTTGGCAGTATGCATTCGACTTGGGGCACTCTGTGCTTGACCTTCTTGCGGCGGATGCCTCGGGACGTTGATAGAGAAGAATGGGGAACCTCAGCTAAGTCCCGCCGCTACTGGGGTGGAGGGGTTCGGGAAGCGAAAGCTCGTGCTTGGTTGGGAGTGTTGAGGGTTGGAGAGAGATGTCCAGCTTCTTATGGGCATAGAGGAGCGCCTCGACAGTCGTGAGGTTGCGTAGTTCTCATGTGTTTTCGCAGTTGGTGCTTGGAAATTACTGGTAAAGAGCCTGAAGACACTTTCTCGTTGCAAGCGTTGTGCGGCGAGGGAAACATGCTTCCCTTATATACAGGTGTACTTCTTGTTGGTTGGTTCCGTGCGGAACCTGACGGTTTTCCTGTCTGTGTGTTGTGAAGTTCCTTGCAGCCGAAGGCCCCAAACCATCCAGAACATTTCTACCTTTTCATGTGTAGTGTTCCACCAGTGCACATGTCTGAGTCAAACGCCTGCAAGCCCCGAACCCTGGAAGGAAGGACTTTGCAAATCACACCGTGTCCATAATCATTCCGTGGCTGGCTGAGAAGTGGGAGCATATGGAGGGCACCATGTGACTGGGCACTGGAAGTGTTTGCCGTGTCGGGTGGGGAGGGGAAGTTTGGACTCGGTTAGATGGTCTGGATTTGAGGTTTGTTTTTCGGACGGGCTCGTTTGTGGGGTTCCGAGGTGCAGCTCAAACCCCCAAGAGCTCTAAGTTTCATTGTCGCCTTACGGGATCTCTCGCAAGCCTCGGTCCAAGTCGGCAGAGCTCTGAAGGTTGTTTTGCCAAGTAGGGATACCTGCTTGTTTTCAAACTCTCTAGTCTCTGTCGAAATTTGCTACTCTCTTTCGAGCGGCTCGCTCCTTCTTCTGACATTCTCTAGTTCCTTTCGAGGGGGTTGCGCCTTGTTTTCAGAATTGCTAGTCTCTTTCGAAATTCTCTGGTCACTTTCGAGCGGCTTTCTCCTTCTTCTGATGTTCTCTAGTTCCTCTCGAGCGGCTTGCTCCTTGTTTTCAAACTCTCTAGTCTCTCTAGTGTCTTTCGAGCGGTTTGCTCCTTCTTCTGAAATTCTCTGGTCTCCTTCGACAAAGCTTGCTCGGTATAAAGAGTCCCAACTAGGACACGCTTGATTCTTCTTCTGTTGGAAGACAAAAAACGCTTACTGCTCAGGGTTGGGTGCACAGGAGATCCTCCTCTAAAGCCGGAGCCTCCACGGCCCTGCTTGCAGGCCCATTGAAGCCAAGGCTTGTAGGGCTTAAGGCTAGCAAGCAGAAGTGGTGCATGGAGTTCGCTGCTGTACCCAAACAGCTTTACTCCGTCTAGTGTCGTTCATGCGGAAACCCACCTCATTGTCAAGCCCCGTGAGCCTTAAATGTCCAGAAGGTCGCTTGAAAGGAAACTTTGCGGAGGTCCCAAAAAGCGAACAGCGAATAAAGGAAAGCCATCCTACATTTCACCCCGGACGAGCTGGTCGATGAATACATCTGGATCTCCGATGGCAACGCCGACCCGATGCTTGGGTTCTCGAGCTCTAAGGGTCTAGGGACTGGGGTCGAGTTAGTTCGGCTGTGTCGATTTTCCAAGATAGCAACTTGGACTAGCAGAGATCGACCCCGTGCGCATGCAGGACCACCGAAGCCACGAAGTAGTGAATTGTCATCCTAGGCCCTAGCCCTAGCCTTCTTGGCCCAAAGCCTCGGTGCCCCTCGACAAGGAAAGAAAAGGAGCTCAAGGCCTTGTCAAGCAAGGTCAGAGTCTTCGCCTTCCCGGAGAGGCGGATGGGTTTGCTGGAGGGTCTCTGGGTTTAGGGCTTGAGGTTTTGGTGCATCCGGACGCATGGTTTTAAGTTTCGACGCTAGCCACGAGGGGTGGCATCTGCTCGGTGTGGATATCGCTCAACGACGGCTCTGTACGTTCGAGGTTACTGTCAACGGACTCACCTGTCAAGCCTTCAGAGATATCAGTTTTGTCTTGTCGGAGCTTTGAACCGAGCATAGCAATTTACCTAAGTCTCAACGAGGAGCCACAGTCTGCGGTAGCCGCCAAGCCTAGTCTTCCGGAGCCGCAGTACAGCTCAAGATGCATCGCCTGTCGTCGAAAGTGAAGGGTCCTTCCATCCTCCCATACTCCCTCTCTCTCTACTTGGTCTGCTTGTCTGTATCTCTCTGCCGCTCTCTCTCTATCTCTCTCGCCCTCTCCCCCTCTCACTCTTGCGTCTTACGCAGCTCGACCAGGAAAGGCCTCATGCTGGCAAAGATGAAAGGGGTAGAGATGGCCACAGCGCCCGTCATCGTTTTCTTGGAGGCACTGCAAGCCTTCGGTTCGGTCTGATTCGGTCTGGAGTCTGAAGCCCGAAGAGTCCAAGCTGCAGATCGAAAATCCCAGCTGGGGTTTTGGGTAAACCTTTATGCTCGCGGCCCTCGGCCCTCTGTCAGGCTCACGTCATTCCGAACAAGCACTGGCTTCAGCACATCTTGCATCGAGTGGTCGTGAATCCCAAGGCTTGGCGGTAGGGGACTGTGGCAGTGACGCAGGAGGCGAAGACGGGTAAGAAGACCCTAAGTCTCAACCTCTCCGACTTGACTATACTTTACTCATGTTAAAGTTAACCACCCCCAAACTGCCTTGAGAAGGTTGAACAAGTTGCAATGTTCTGTAACAGCTGGTGCTGTTTCTCATCCCGTGCTCTGTTGCTTCGCATCGCCTGTAACAATCGCCACTCAGGCTAAGGTTTGGAGCGGGTTTGGGCGTTCTCGTTTGCTTTGCGGGACTGCCCTGTCGGAAAATTGGATGGCGGGCCTGGACTTGATTGGGCTAAACCGTCTGGGTAGGTCTAGTTGATCCTTAGCTTTAGACCCTTAGGCCGGCAATCCATCCCTAAACGCTAATCCGCTAAAGCAAAACTCTAAACTGCACATGCCCCAAACCAGAACCTTGGAGCCTCGAGCTGGATGCTTTGATGGTTAGCTGAAACACCCGAGCCATGTTTGAATCATCGCATGACACACGCATGCTTCGGCTGTTTCCAGGAAGCGGTTCCGATTCTTTTGGGGATGCGCTGATTTCCCCGTCAGTCCTCGCAAGAGGCTGTGTCCATATATGGCTGTGGCATTGCAGAATAAGTAACCGGAAGTGCCGCTGAGATTCTCGTTTGAGGCGCTCGCCATGCCAACCTTGGATCAGATTCCTCAGGAGAATTGGCACCTGCAGCTGTGCTCTAATCTTCGAGTTTGTAGAGCACCGGAAGACTCCATGAATGCAGTAGTCATAGGATTGGATGGGCACCGCTCGCCGATATTCCAAGGATAAGCTGAGGACCAATGTCCCGTCAGGGTTTCGAGGCTCCAGCGAAGAAGCTGTTGCTGTCTCGATGAGCTTGCCGTAGCAAACTCCCTCCCAGGTCGAGTATAATGATTGGTGAGCATTTTCTGAGCGTCAGCAAGCAGCCCACGGCCCGAAACTCAGGTACCACCCGATGCCACCGGGCCACTGGCGCTACGAGTGGAACTTCAACCTTGTCTACACGACGCCTTGCAGAATCCAGAATCGGGAGCAGACGCAGCTATCAGGTCAGATCACATCACCGTTATTCTTGTTGCAGTGCCCTTTCGGTTTTTGCTACCACCGCAATCACTACAACAACTAGCTAGCTATTGTTGCCTCGTGTTCCCTCTTGCCTTTGTCTGGTTGTCGATTCTCGTTTGTCGAGAAGCACCAAGTGCCTTCGATCCAGAACATGTCATCGGCAGCAAGAAAGGTATGCTGCACGCTTATTGCATCACCTTTACCGGCAGGTCGTCAACTCGATTCAATGTTCTTCCTGCCCAACTCCCAACCTTCACAACCTTCACCTCGTCAGCACAGCAAGTCGCAGTTTGCCTTATGAGCCAAGGAATCCCGGCAATGTCATTCGAAATGACAAGCCCGATCCCTACGATAGCCCGGGCATCGAATCTGCACTGGGTTCGCTTCTTCATCTCGAGAAGACGGGCAGGGGCCCCGAAAGTTGATTTCAAGGTAGGTGTGGCCCAAGCCACAGCCTCGGGCCCTGCAACCTAAGCCCAAGTCCTACAATCCTGACTAGTAAGCACTTCAGCGCCGATCGACCTAAGACATTCAATAGCACAAAGACAGCGCCCCAAGGCACATCGGGCGGAATCTTCGCCATGCGCAAAGACTGGTTTCAGCAGCTTGGGCTCTTCGATGCCGGCATGCGCGAGTGGGGAGGCGAAACCTGTGACGAAAGCACTCTACTTGTAGCTCCAGTGACATAGAATCATAGAAGGGGTAGCAGTCCGGGCTGGGCTCGGGATCCTTGTGCTGGCAGGCGACCACATGGAGTTGACGATGAAGGCTCGAGAGCTGTGCCGAACCCCCCTTGAAACTCTCGTTGGAACGCCGGCTTGTGCTGCAATTAGCTGCGCAAACACCTTCCTCGCGCACCACCCCCCACTTCAACTTCGACCCACTACGCCGACAGCGTCATCGTCGATATCATGACAAGTGAAACCATCACCCCGAAGGAGATGCAATGACCATCAGAGCCGGACATCGACTCCATCATGAACCCCAAACTCCCCCTTTACAGCCCTCAACTTTGCCCCCTAAATACTCAAATCGCATCGCTGCACTCAACATGACCAACATGTCGAGGTGTGGCGCTGTGGCGGCCGCATTGAGATCGTTCCTTGCTCGAGAGACCTGCCCTGCAACGTCTTCTTTGCACTTGCCATCCTAGGGTGCGCAGGCATTGCTTCATATTCTCTTACGGATATTCGCATAGAATTGAACTGCTGTGCGTACCTGCTTCGTCGAACCTACACTCTGTGGAGAGCAATTTTGGGGGCCATGGGTGGTGGTGGTAGTAGGAGTACTGAGTACAGTAGTTGGTGTTAGTAGTCGTCGTCGTCGTAGTCG